TTGGAGAGCCTGGGTGGCTCAGTCAGTCAAGCGTCTGACTTCAGCTCAGGTCATGATCTCAGTTTGTGAGTTCGAGCCCTGCATCAGGCTCTGTGCTGACAGCTCAGAGCCTGGAATCTGCTTCAGATTCTGTGTCTCCCTGTCTCTCTGCCCCTCCCCCACTCGTACACTCTGTCTTTCTCTCTCTCTCAAAAATAAATAAATATTTTTAAAAAAGTTTTTAAGTATGAGGCCAGCCCAGATCTGGCTTCAGGTGGCCTGGCTCTTAACCAGCTGGCCGCACTGCCATCCTGGGGCTGGTGCACAAAGCCCTTGGGTCGTCTGCGAGCACGGGAGCGGGTGTCCGGCCTCCTGTCTCTGGGGCTGTCGAGCCCTCAGCTGGAGGAGCGCTAAAGATGACAGAAGCCCGTCCAGGACGCTGAGGCCGGAGCCAAGCATGAGACAGGAGAGCGTGGGGCGAGCGAGACACGTGTGCATGGAGGCTCCAGCTGCTCTTTCTCAAGGGACCGGGGCCTTCTTCCCTGAGATCATGCCTTCTGCTCTGCAGTTAAACTGTGCCCTGCCCTTCCGTCATGAAATGTCGTCTGCAGCCTTTACTTGGCAAAATGTGTGTGTGGTGGGGGGGGGACCCTGTGTGTGGCCCCTTTATCACCCGAGAGGGAACGCCAATTTCACACCTTCTTGTCGGGCACGCCACCTCTCCTTCCCGACACACACACACACACACACACACACACACACACACACACACACACACCTGCTGAGGCACCTCCGAGAGCCTGAGGGAGGTGTGTGTGCCCAGCGTGTGCAGTGTGTGTGTGGAGTCGAGCGAACCATCCTACTCAGAGACCCAGTTTGTCTGCACCATCCGGGCAAGACAAGGTTCTGTCTCCTTAGGGGAGTTTCTTCCATCCTGTGGTCTGGAAGGCACAGACTCCCCAGGAAGGCTCCCAAGAGCAACAGCGGTCACCATTCTGACCGTGGACTCCAGGTCCATCCGCCACGGCCACCGCACCACTGCTGTGTGCCCGGCGACCTCCCTATCTCCAGACTCCCCAGGCTGTATACATTAGAAATGTACAGCTTTTTGTATGTCAATCATACCTCCATAAGGCAGTTGTAAAAAAAAACAAAAATCACTGACATATCAGACTGGCAAACTGGCTTAAGAGAAAAACACCATGTCTCACGTCCATGCTAGAACACTGGCGGTATTCTCTGAACATTGCCTCCTTTTCCACGCTAATCTGTTCCCAGTGTTAAGGTCAATTTCCGTCCTTGATGGGGTGGAATCACTGATCAACCGGGAAGCTACACAAAGGGTTGAATTAAATCTTTCCTATGGGAAAACTAAGGGCCCGACTACTGTTCCCAGCTATCCAACGCTCTGAGGAAGCCTCTGCAGGAGAGCGCCAGGGAGAATCCCACTCCAGCCGCAGGGCACCGCTCACAAGACCTGCCCTAGTCCCAGGGGCACGCTGCCGTGACAGAAAAGGCAGAAAGCGCATGGGACCATGATACGCATGTCAACGTCCACACTACGTCCACGTGAGCTTTCTCAAGAGAACGGAAAAGCTGAACAGCAAGGGAGGCGGAAATAAAGGTCCAAGTATATACTCAGGGTGCTGCTGGGCTGTACAGAAGCAGAAATGTCGTTGAAGGCTCTCCAGCTGCTGGTTTAGGCTTCAGACCAGAATAGGAGACTGTTGGTCGGCCCTCTGAGCAGCAAGAGCGGAGGGCAAAGGAGGAGGAACCTGAAGCAGAAAAGCAGGCTTTTCTGCAGAAAAACTGCTCACCAGGATGAGGTCCAAAACTTTCCCATGTGGAAACCCAGGGCCGCAGCCTGTCCAGGGGCTCACATGAGCCATGGGGGTCACGCAAGGACAGAGCCCTGTTTGCTCCACAAAGCCCTGTTTGTCAACCCGTGTTCCCCGGAAGTCATCCCTGGGGAGGAAAGAAGGCAGCAGAGCCCAGTGAGTGTGGGTCTGAGACTCCCACTCCAGCTCAACCGGAGAGGTTGATACTGGTTTTCTGGATTTGGAGTCTGCAGAAAATGATTGGACCAGAGGGCCCCTGACGCTGGGCGGGGACGGGGCACACGGGCTCCTCCCAGTTGAAGTCAAATGCCATCTACTGGCTGCCCGGAGAACTTCACCCGGCATCTCCCTGAGGAAGCCTCAGAAACCTCACAACAGAAGCCGCACGCGAGCCTCCTCATGCAACAGGCTGAAAACACGTCACCACCTCGGTGTGACTGTTGCCAAAAATGTTGAACTCGAATCTTGCACAAGGAAACGACCAGATAAATCTAAATTGAGGGACATTCTGCAGAACAACAGGTCTGAGCTCTTCCAAAACATCAGTGTCGGGGGGCACCTGGGTGGCTCGGTCGGTTAAGCGTCCGACTTTGGCTCAGGTCATGATCTCGCGGTTTGTGAGTTCGAGCCCCACGTCGGGCTGCGTGCTGACAGCTCAGAGCCTGGAGCCTGCTTCGGATTCTGTACCTCCCTCTCTCTCTGCCCCTCCCCTGCTTGTACTCTGTCTCTCAAAAATGAATAAATGTTAAAAAAAA